TTGCTCTTCTCTTCTGAACTACACATGTGTACATAGAACAGCCCCCAGGTTACTTCCTTCCCAGGATGGCTGGGAAACAACAGAACAATTACAAATTCCCCCATTTTCTTTGCACAGATTCCACAGTCCTTATAACCAACAACCATGAAAGATAGCAAGGTAGTGACTAAGTGTCCAAGAAATCCTTCTAGCAAGTGTAGAAGTCAGGGCGTGGCCAGAAACTGGACACTTCACTGTATCACTTTTGGTTTTGTCTTGTAACACATCAGAGTTCCTCACAAACTGCATGGATTAGGAAAAAAACTTTTTTTTAAGCTGGACTCGTATTTCTAAAGCACTGTAAATTTTCATACCACATTTTAAACTGTAAAATAATTTAAAAAACCTGTATTCTAGTCAAGAATTTACTAATTCAAATTTACCATTAGACAAGTGACATATCAAGAGCTTATTGAAGAAGTGTTGGGGTAAGAGTTTGGTTAAAGACAGAATTTCAACAGGTACATTACAAAGATATAAAGCAATAATAATTAACCTACCTTTAGATTTGTACAGCTGAACACAAATTTTAAAAAGAACTGTGCCAGTCTGCTACAGTAGCTTGTTCCTGACTTCCCTATTCTGTGACACAGTGTATGAATTATATATAATATTAGCTAAAATCTAAAGGTATAATAGCAACAAAACCAACCCCTCCATACAAGTTGAGAGCTGTCTTTCAGCCACTATACATGATTGTCTACATAAATTAATTAAATGAATACAGAACACAGTTAACATTTTTCCTTCATCTATCTTAATTTTTTAAGCAGCTCAGTTAAACAAAAAAAAGGAGCAGTTTCTTTTTCGTTGCTGCTAGTTTCACATGTGAAACAAAGGCAGACCAACCTTAAGCCTTTTGATAAATATGATACCGTGGTAACTGCAGCATTCACTTTGTATCCCATTTCTTCAAGTTCCTGTCAGCCAGATGTCACTTGCAATGCAAACACCAGAAAAACATGAAATAATAATTTCATACATCATCTATGTGAGCACGAGCCAGTCAAACATTCAATACAAATTCAAACTGCTACTACACATAAAGCAAATATCATCCAAATAATATTTAGAATGATTGAAAGGCTTTTGATTTGGAAGTGTATTCTCTTAAGCTAAGTGGTCCCCAAGACCATCCAGAAAATTCAATTGTTTCATTTTAAAATGTTTTCTGCCCAAAATTATATCAAATCCTAATGTCTCAGTAGAAATGCATGGGATTGGATTGCTGACTGGGCGCCTGATGTCAAAGAGGAATCTAATTTTCCAATGGCATTTCCTCATCCTGTCTCACCAAACACAAAATTGATAAAATTTTAATGGATAATTTTCAGAGCAGGACATTAGCTATCATGCTGGGAAATAGTGCAGGAGAACACCACGTAGCATCAGAAAGGCAATGTATCAGAAGACAAGTTTAAATAAATATGAATAAAGCACATGCCTTACATTTTATATTTTCTCTTGCAACTAGAAACAGAATTCAGAAGGTAAGTTTTACAACAACAGGTACATCACTCTTCCCTTCTTTTCCAGAGCATTTTTTACAACTTATGTCCTTAAAATATGGGTGTGATATATTACTTAAAAGGGCACAGTGTTCATCTTTTACTGGGGTGACAGAATCACAGTCAACACAGTCCTCTTCTCATTGACATCAATTGTGAAAGTCATATTGACTTCAATGACTACATCACTAACCACTCCATATAACAAAATGTTTTTGTTAAGTAACTCTACAGAAAAAATTGCAATGCTGGGATAAATGAAACATCACCCTTCTGGATATCCTGATGGGGCAAGGTGCTACAAGCACTTAACACCAAAAGCCATGACAAGATGAAAAGGGCTAAATCCTACTCCTGATGACAAATAAGTTATACTAGGGAGAAAGGTACTAATTAACTGTATTAGGTTATCACTCAGTAACAATGTAAAGTATATGTATGGAAATGTGCTATTTAAAATGTGCTCTTCTCTGAATAATTTTCCTTTCAGTTAAGCTAGGTCATTAATCATTTAAATTTGAGACTTATTTAGAAAATACAAGTGGACAGGTAAAAAAAGTGAAATAAGATTTAGTAACCTGTGTAGTTTATTTTTAATTTATTACAAAAGTGTAACACAGTAGAATATATTTTGAACTAGATGGACTCAGTTTTCCAGCTGAGTTTCATTTCTTGTCATTTATTACTAGCTGGGTTTTGAAATCTGTATATATATATCCATATATATATAATCTGTATATATATATCTTTTACAGCAAACTGAAGAACATCTCTGAAGTCCTCAGCTCAGTTAAACACTAGGGCTCATCATGTAGACAAAGATACTTCCATAGCTACAGCTTTCATTCCGAAATGCTCACTTTTATTTCACTGCTCAGAGGCCAGAGCCATTGTGAAGAGGAAGAAATAAATATTTTGGTTGAGCTCTTTGTGGTTCACTGCACCTCAATTCCAGTCAGCCTTGGTAGGACACTTCTCCAGATCTAGCCAATAAAATGCTTTTGGCACAATGCAGAAGTCATGCTGGAGCTTGCTAAGACACAGCTTCCCCAAGCCCCAGCTCTGAGCTGAACATAACCAACCTATAACTGCTCATCTCCTGGGCTAATCAGCGAGTTATACCTTCCCCAGTGCTTTTGGCATTTTTGCCACACCAGTCTGCCAAACTGCCACATCTATCTATCCTCCACACCAGTCACCATCACTCCTCCTTTAACTCAAAGGAGTTCCCCTTTCTAAAATAGGAGGGAAACAGAAAGCTAAAAAATTGGGAGATGGAGCTAGAAGCTTCTTTGATGTGTCCGAGTAGGAGAAACAAGACCTCCCTGGCTGTTTTGTTCATCTTTCCTGCTCCATCTTCTACAAGTGGAAGGCAGCCTCCATTCTCTCTGTTAATCAAAGGCAGCAGAAGAGAGTTCTGCTTGCATTGCATAAACATTCCACTGGGAAGGCTATTCAGTGCAGGAAAAGGTTTTTCCAGAGAGGACTGAAATTTTCAGAGGGTTGGCAAGATGTATTGTCTTGATCTGGCTATTCAGAGTAATGAAATCTAAACAGACTTTTATTAACAAGTCTTTTCACACCTCCTCTGCTCTCAGCAGCTGAGCTCAGCACTGAAAGAGAAACTATAATGCAGTAACTTTGAGCAGCTTTCTGTGCCGCTCTCAAATGAAGCATGCATTGCTTACCTAACTGTGTATGAGTACAGTACAGCACCAGCATGACCTTCTGCCAAAACTCTATTACTTGAGGAAATTGCAAATTTGACAGATTTGCCATCCTAAATTCATAATGGCCCAAGAATGAAGAGGAGGGTGAAACAGGTAATTCCCTGATCAGATTTGCTCCACATCCTGGCTGATCTGTGCTGATAGCCTTTGATAGTAGCTCAAGGGCTCAAAAGAACTCTTTAATTATCAAATTGACTTATAAGTTGATTTCCAGGTTTGCAAACACCACTGAACTTTAAAAAAAGTACATTGAAAACACACCACAGCTGCAGACATTTTTCTTTCTTCTTTAGAAAAAAACTAAGTCTGAGACTTACAGTTTTACTTGTCTCTTTTTCTCCTCAAAGGCATTTCACTTCTCTCAGTGCCAGCTGAACCTCTCTTTTCTGGTTCATTCTTTTTAAGACTTTGAAGGTTCTAAGCAAGTGGATTAGGTGTGTAACTATCTGTTCAAGACTTTGTGGGACATATTCAGAGTAGCTAACATCAGGTGGGTAAACACTGGAGCAGGCACAGCAGGATTGCTCCAGAGGCTCCTGGCAGTTTGGACAACTGGTACATCTGTGCAACCAAATCCCATATTTTGACCACTCAAATAACACACCCCCTTGTATAACCTGCTGGTGGTTACCTGTATCAGGCACTTCATAAAATAAAATCTGAAATTATTACATTAAGCTCTTCATACAATGAAGAAGCCCTGCATGCAGAAATATACTGTGTTGGTTTTCCACAAGCTGGACTTACTGATCAACTACAGAGAGAATTATACCATAAAATAGCATTTCACAATATTTAACCTTGAAAACATACAATTGGGCATAGGTTGGTTTTATGTGTCTGTATTCTCTTTGCTTAAAGGTTGTTTAGAGATACATTTGCATCTCCAAGACAAAGTACATGTTAATTACCTCATGTTTGTACTGTACTTTCAGGAAGGAAAGCTATATAAGTGCTAAGTGCTATTTAGCATCATCCCCTTCTATTTTTCTCTTTCAGCTTTTAAGTGAATATAGTGCTTGTGAAAGTTGTTGGATTGACAGCTCTGGAGACTGAAGTCTAAAGTGCAGCACACCCGCTGAGCCAAACAGAACTAAAACGTACAAAAGCTTCTCACCAAATTTTAAATACATGCTTCATTTAGCTATTGTTCTATGATGGCACGTAATACTACCACTGAAAGTTTTGCTGCTCCCATTTATTTGTTCTAAACATCAGTTCAGACTCTTCCTTTATTTCCTACTTTTAAAAACCATCTCTTGCTGACGGGCAACACCCCAGAGACCGCTTCCCTGCCTTCAAAATCCCACGTTTCGATGGAACGCTGCTGAAGCATAACTTCATGCTGCTGCAGTCAGGTACAATGGTGCATCCTGGCATTCACTTTGCACATCACAGGAAAGTACATTAGCTAATCTCACACAGTTTTAGTACTGATCACACTAAGTGCTTGTCTGCAGAAATGCTACTCTATATTATAATCAAAATCTGAGGCAAGGAGGCCTCTAAACAGAAGATCTGCTCCTCTAGACAGGAATACTAGTGTTAGAAAACTAAGTCAATACTTAAATAACAATTCAATGTTCCCTGAGAAACAGGTAATCTTATTTTTATTTAAATACTAGATTTCCAGGAGTACACCTCTGACCACTGAAAGAGGTTTGGGATTTTTTTAATTTACTTTTTTGAAATCCTTTATGATACACCAAAAGACAAATCCTACCTTCTAAGATGCCTCTCTTCACACAAGTACATTCAGATCACTTGTAAAGCTTTCCTCTTGATTTCAGCTAGGGCCACTGCTCTCTCCAGGAGACTGCCATTCCTGTAAACAAGTTCTATAAATCACACAAATGCTTACTAGCTGTTAGTTTCACAGTCTCCTTTTATCCACTATCTGCTTGCCTCCAGGTGGGACTGTTTGAGCTTTTAAGTGAAGGGACTGATCCTAGTTGAGTAGAGTGAGCATATAAGATGCAGAACACCTGCAGTGTGTAGAGCTGATACTAACAGCTGCTGCTTCAGAGGCTTCTAGAAGATTTCTTCACTTGTCTTGACAGGTTCCAAAAAGCAAGTTTAGTGCCTGGGTCATCTTCAGTCCTGCGTAACTTCAAGACCCGGCACTTACAGAAAGTAATTCCTTTCCAATTCCAATTACTTTCCAGTTCGGGAAATTTCTCAGGGCTTCTTGTCAGGGCACGCTACTCTTTTATGATTTCCAGCCTGCAATGCTGCTCCTTTCTATTTCATCTTGACTTGATGTCATTAGTCTTCTTTCACAGAAACCTGAGCATTCTTTTCCTAATTTATCTAGATGGTACTCTGACAGCAGCTTCTTTGATCAAGACTTTGCCATTTATGTCTCTTCTCCCGTTAATCATTCTCTCAAATGAGACTGGTAGTAAAAAATAATTAAATCAAGTCTGACTGCCTTCAAATTTCTTGGCTTGCTGGGATTCTGGATGTTCACTTAGGCCAGGCCTTTTGGAGACACTGTGCTTTCTCTGGTATATTGAACAGGCCATTTGGGTTATTTTCTTTTACTAGAAGGTCAAAATAGGTTTTAGCATTGGTGAAATTAAAGAGACATTTACAGAATGCAGCTACGACATCCAGACACTTTGTTGTTTGATAGTTCTCCCAAAAAGAATCCATTATTTTCTATTAAAAAAAAATTAAATCTGGAGGCAAAGTGGCCACACAATAATTCTTCCTGTCTTTGCTTCTTGGAAAACAAGAATTCTCTATTATGCAACATGTCTATGCTGAACTCCAAGTTCCCAGCTGCTCTCCTTCCTTCAAATATTGATTTTCAGTTACTTAATATCTGCAAAGAAAAAAAAGTAAAAGACTAATGATTTGTTCAAAAGTTATATTTTAAAAAATCTTTATAAAAATGTAGTCTACACCTTATGTTCATCTGCCTCATGTTTTGTGAGGTCTGATTCTGAATGAAAATCTCCATCGTACAATGCTTCAGGCTCTCTTCTCAGCAAGAATGCCCATCTCCTACTAGTCAGGCTTGTTCTGTCTTGCAAGTTGAATTCCAAGTCCAAAGCATCTGTGGCCTGGTTCCTAAAAGTCTAGAGGATCAACCATGACCAGCATCCTCATTTCTCTGGCCAATGCAAGTGTATTAGGAGTACAACTTATTTCTGAGTGAGACAAAACTTCCATCAACCTGAGATGATAAAACAAACTGCCCCAGGGGAATAATAAATATCACAATATTTAGCACCTTCCTCATCATTGAGAAGCACATTTCATTATGATTTTGCTGGCATATGCACGGATATAAGTATGACCCTAAACTTACTTAAACAAGAAGTGTTACTGACAACCTTCTTCCAGCTTGACAAAAAATAGGGGAAAAAAAGATACTATATTTGATACGCAGTCACATTATTTGGTTCGAGGCCAGGAAGATGTTGAGTTTTTACAGTGCTCAATATATTTTAGGAATCTGTGTATGTGTGTGTATATAAAATAACTGTAATACACCATACAGATCTACAGAGATACGGAACAAGGTTAAAAACAAACAAACAAACCAACATCAAGACTTTTTTGACATCTATGACATACCAGCATTTGTGTTTAAGCCAGAAATGACCATCTAGCTCTGTCAGACAGCACTGGTTTTTACAAGAAATAGCCTGATAAAGTCAAGGCAAATCATCATCCGGTTTCCTGTAGTCAAATGGCTGCATATAATGAATGTTCTTGCTATTAAGTCTAAAGCATTGCAAGACTGAAATGTTCTGTATCTCATCTCAAATTTTCAAACAATCCAATATCCAGTCTATGTATAGATATATTCTTGCTGTTTAATCTCTTAAAAATCAATCAATATTAATGTGTCTGCCTTAAACTTTTAAGGTCATTGTCTCCCTTCTGACATTTTTAACTACATCAACATCACATTATATCATTATAGACTCATGAAGCAATGTACTTTTACATTTTTGCAAGATAATGTCTCTTTTGTGTTTCAGTTTTTATCATAATATAAATCTTGAAATGTAATTTGCATATCTTTTGTTTAGTGAAGGAGACCCCCATTTAAGGCTATGTAATTTTAATACATAGACTTAAAAGTGGATGACTTTTTAAAGGAAATACACCAAAATATTCCAATTTATTTTTCAACTGAAGCGGCTGCTCCACCAGTAAATTAGTAAATTTCCTTAACAATACACTTGCTAACAATTATGGTCTGCCTTCCTTGGGCTCACTTGACAGTAGGGTTGCCATCTGTTGAGAAGTCCATTTATGGATTTAAAGGGTTATTTCTAGGCTTTTATTTAAACATTGAAAAATACATCTCTGTTCTTCAGCCTTCCCTCTACTTGTCCTGTCTTTCCTTTCCTCTGTTGATGTCCCCATCAACCTTCCAAGAGCACCAGTGTGCTCCCAGCACTGAACTGTCCCTCTGCACCAGCAGCCACATCCCAGCAAAGGCTTTCAGGCACGTTCAGTTCCCAGGAAGTCTGGCCCATTTGTAGTGCCCAAGGTGTGGAAGTAGAGAGGAGGGAGGACACTTACAGACAGGAACAGACAGACATGAACAGGCTCAAGAAATTCAAAAGCAGCCATAAAGGAAACAAAATCAAGACGATGAATGGGAAAGGGATAGTAGGAGCTCTGGCTCTGGATAGATGGATATTTCATGAATTCCTTCAATAAATAGGGAACCTCTAGGGAAATTCAACACCTGGCAATCGTAGTGGATAGTGGTGCTGCAAAGAAAGCATAATGTTCACCCCTCTGGTAAATTCAAGCAATTAAACCCCCTTAAAAAAAAAAGGCCCTCTTAGGCTTTCTGCCCAGTAAACTCACAGTGAAAAGCAGCTTTAATAAACGTTATAAATCTCACCTCTGAGCCAACAGGAAATTCAAATGTTTTGCATGTGCAGGAGCCAGGGAGCTGCTGAAACAAAAGGTAAATGTGGATATTAGAATAGATTATGCCCATACTCAGACTGGACAGCAGTAGATGCATGAGACTCAGAGATGACAGTTTTTTTAAAGGCATCCTTTCTAGTGCCATCTTTGACCATTTATGTTTCTGTTACACCAGAACTCTCCTTTCTTTGTGAGTGGAAAAATTTGTCTAGTGATGATTTGGTGGTTCAATGAATTCAGGATTACTCCTTACCATAGAACATTATTGGAAAGCAGTTTTCAATGTTTTAGACATAAACCTAAATAAAGAAATGGCAACAAATATCTGTGGTTTCTAAAATGAAAAGATCAAAGAAAAGAGACTGCAGAGAATTTTTGATCAACACCTTGACAAGGGGTGTTATTTTTAATAAACAGTAAGAATTTTAGTCCATTATTAAGTATGAGATGCAGTCTCAGCTGTGTTTCTAATTTCCTTTCGTGCCTTTACTGCTGTTGTATAAAGCTCTGTAGTGACAAAAAACATTTATTGAAAAAATCTGAGCACACCATTCAGGTTTATGTTACTTCACCTGCCAATGAGAAATATTTCCCTCTTTGCCCTCCCTGATGCCAAGAGCTGCAGGTACATTCTGAATATGGGACGGAGATGCACTTGTAGAAGTGAATAAGAATTTCTTTATTGAGTCAGAAAACTAAATTATCATGGTACACAATTCCTTTTAATTGTTGCTCTTTTAAAGCCATAGATAAACACAGACAGATCTTTGTGCACATTTTTTAGAAGCTAATTTAAGTGTATAAAAACAATGCATATCTGGCAACATATCCTGTGAGAAGGAGATTTTATGAAAGTTTTCTGGGAAGATGTTGTCTACCAAGCTATAAATACTTTACTTTTTTGTCTACCACACACTATGGGCTTATGAAAGCACAGAAGACTATGAAATTAGGATGAAAAAATAGGGAAGGAGAGACAGAATTCTGGTTGAATAGAAACAAGCCATATTTGCTGCTTGAATTTTTCATAGTCAGGACAAAGGTCTGTTCTTTCTTCCACTCTTAGTTTTTGGGGCAGGCGGGCAGAGAGGGTTGTTATAAGAAAAATCTCTTCAGAAATCTCTTCATTGCCTTCAAAATAAAGCTGGGAATTAATTACTTTATTACAAGAGGGACACAAGAAACAAGTATCTCTGTTATAATGACTCCATCTCTGGCTTTCCACCTATAGTATTTTTCCTTAGGGGATTATCAAGATTATTAGTAATTATTACCAGTAAGCCATTACTATGAATAATAGTAATTACAATATAATTTAAGGACCCTAGTCATAATCACTGTGGAAGACTTATGAATGTAGTGAAGGCCAAGGCTTTGCACATGCCTGAAAAAGAACAAACACAGAGTTACACTCCAGTGAGCACAACACTCAAAGCCTTTTACCCCTAAATGGCCAATGACAGCATCAAACCCAGAAACTTGTCTGCAGACAAATGGCTCACAATTTTTAACAACCTTTTTTTTTAGTTTTAAAAGGAAACAGGAGAATTTTTTTACTTTTAAAGTGAAACCAGGAGGATTGGTGGAACTACATAATCCCATCTCTAGCCCCCATTTCTGTTTACAGTAAACACTGTTTTAAAGAGCAGCGTAGATCCAGACACCAAGTGGATCAAGGACACATAGAGAAATTCGGCCATTATGGATATTCCATAGAAGGGCAACAAGTTTTTATCCAATCCAGTTTGCTTGTTCTGTGTCCCTTACTCAACAGAATTCTAGTTTTTCCTTTAACAGAGAGCAAAGCCCTGCCTGCTATGAGTTAATGTCTAACATATGCTCAGAGTGGACGCACCCTAATTTTCCCACTTTTTCCATTTCTTTTTATGGTTTTCTCTCAGGAACACATGCCCTCCCTTCTCCTTTTGCATCAGTTCTAAATCCTTGTCTATCTTGCTTTCCATCTTCAGAGTCATGACAGAACTCTTCTAAAAGTACTCTGCTGACAATTTCTGATCTGGTTTTCCACTAAGATAAGCAGACTACATTTATAACCTTTAAACTTCACATATAACTTCATAACTTTAGTTTACAACTATATAAAATTTTGTAAGGTTTTATTTTTAAAGGATGGTGTTATCGTAACATAAGCTATGAAGTCACTTGATATATATATATATACACACATACACTACGTGAACATATATACATATTAAATATGTATATCATTACGCACGGACATATGCTTCTGACAAAACATGAAGAGAGGACTTTTCATGCTATAAAAAGTGGTATTTGCAACTGCAATCCAGAATATATTGCAAAGGGTATTAAAATGTGTATAGTTCTATTTCAAAGAAAAACATTTTTCAATGTAACATGCTGCAGCTGTGTTTGTTAAGATTTCCTGATCATGGGGGTCACTGTAAGAAACACAGCACTACCTTGACAAAGGTGACCAGAAGCACTCTGCCCAGAAGTGCCCCTCCCCCTGCATTAGAGGAGGAATTGTAGGTCAGATGCTCACAGGCACATCCATTAAAGCAAAAAAAAA